GAGAAGTCAGAAGTAAAGGGGCTGGTGAGATGGCTCAGTGGTCTAAAGCACCTACTTAGAACAAGCTTAGCAAAGCACAGGGACCGCGGTTCAATCCCCCAGCACCACATGCCAGCCAGCCCGCCCCCTGGTGGGCTGAGCTGGCCACACACACACACACACACACACACAAATAAATAAATAAAAATAAATAAAATTTAAAAAAAAAAAAAGTAAAGGGAGCTACCACGAAAGCTCATGTCCTTCCCATGACCCCCGTCCTGCCTCGTCCCTAAGTGGCCTTAGCAGACTCCTTCCATTCCTGGGTCCCCAGCTCTGCCTGTCTCAGGACCTTCCTGTCCTGTCCAGCCCAGCCTGTGTCCATGTAGGCAGCTCACTCAACTGTCGTGGTCACCTGCTGCGTGACCTGAGTGCCTCTCCTCTGTTCTCATTCAGAGAAATGGGGAGCAAGGTACCAGCGGCGCATGCGCTGTGATTGTCCCCAGTTCTTCCTCCCCCAAGGCCGGGTGGAGACCTGGAGACCCTCAGCCAGCAGATCGGGGCTGTTGTCTCTGCAGCAGCCTGGGCCAGTGATGGAGGCTGAGGGTGGCTGCCCGCTGGGCCAGGCTCTGAGACACGGCTGGTTCTGCCCGTGTCAGCGTGTGTGCGCGCTTGTGTGCGCGCGTGTGTGCGCGCGTGTGCGCGTGGCTGTTTCTGCGTCTGCTTTCATCCTGCACCATTGGCAGGGCTGGGAGGTGCCATCTTTACAGTAGGAGGCTTCACCCCAGTACTGCGGGAGGCTGAGGCAGGAGGCTTGCAAGTTTGAGCCCAACTTGGGCAATTTAATGAGACCTTAGCTCGACATTAAAAACGAAAAGGGCTGGGGATGTAGGTCAGTGTAAAGGCCCTGGGTTCATTCCCAGTACTGCAGAGAAAATAAAAATAACCAATGGGAAACCTTGGCCCCAGCTCAGGGAGAGTGGGGGTGATGAGCGTAGTGGGGGGCAGAACCCTGACTCCCAATGTCTCTTGGCCTGGGTGAGGGAAAAGCTGGGGGCTGGCTGGGGGGCTGGCCCTGGGGTCCGTCTTCCCTGCTTGGTCTGAGTATAGGGATCACTGTCTACACTGCCAACGCTGTCTTCTTGGCCTCTGCAATTTGTGTCCAGCCTAGCTTGGCCTTGTCCCTGCTGTCTGTGTGGCTACCAGGCCCCTGGTGCTCTTGGGGTGGCTGGGGACCTCAGCAGGGCCCACTCTACCCTATTCGTCTTCGGGTTCCCCACACCCTTACTGCTGGGTTTGTGGGGTCTGCAGTGGGGGCTTTCTGCTGGGCCCTGGTGACCGGGTGACCCAGTGAGCGAAGGATGTGGTGGGGACCAGGGCGTAGGCACACAGGCGCTGTTTCCTGTTCTCCCTGGCCTGGGGCAGCTGGCAGGAGACTTACACAGGGACCCTCTCAGCCCTGCCCTCTGCTTGCCCCAGATGCCGGGGACATGGGGACATTAGAGTCACCCCTGGTGACCAAGGGCAAGCTGCTTAAGTTCCTGAGTCTCAATCAAGTGCAGTCAGGGTGGCCCTCCCTCTGTGGTGTGGGGCAGTGAAGGGCCTGGGCAGGTCACCCTGGGGCATGTGGGACAGGTGACATGGGGTGTCTGGTGGAGCAGGCTGGGGAGCCCACATCTATCTCTCCAAGGGCCCACCATTGGCTCAGAGTGCCCAGCCTCAGGGTTAGCACCTGCGGATCCCCTCTGGGGCCTGGCCCCCACTTCTGTGGGAGCCAAGGGGCCATTTTCTCCCTCTTCTCTGTCTTTTTTGTTTGGTTTTAGTTTTTTTGTAACAGGGTCTTGCTATGCAGTTCAGGTTGGCCTTGAACTTAACTATATATCCCAAGCTGCCCTCAAACTTTCATTGGTGGTCCTCCTGCCTCAGCTTCCCTAGTGCCACCGCACCTGGCTAATTTACTTTTCACTTAGAAATTATCAAAGCATTTTAAGCCCCCCAAGGAAGGCATAGATGAGGTGGTGATTGCCCGTGGAAAAGCCCCTTGGGCATTCCAACAGCAAGGCAGCCTGGTCAGCCCACCCCTCTGAGTCCCCGCCGACCCCCAATCCCATTCCTTGCAGTCACACAGGATGGCACAGTACCATCCGTGCTGGGGACCAGCAGAGTCTCCCCTGTGTACTATGCCCATTCCAGCCCTGGCCAGGCTGCCCACGAATGTGGGGGCCTTGGGTGGCACTTGTGGAGCTGTGGGAGGCAACCCAGGATGCTCTGTATCCCAGGTGTCCCGAGTCCATCCTGTCCTCCACCCTGCTGTGGGCCTTTTCTGTGTCCTGTGCAGCCTTCCTCTGTGCACAGGGTTGGTCTTCCACGACCTCCCTGTCCCCAAGGCCCTGCTCTGAGTGTGACCACCCTGTTTCACCTGGCCCCTTCCAGCCCATGGGTACCCACCCCCATTTCCACCTGTCTCTCAGGACCTAGAGCTCTGGCTGTGCGGTGTCTCCATGGCCTGAGCTTTAGGGTGCAGCTGTTAGTTCGGGATCTTGGGGTACTGCAGGCCCGGGTACCCAGTTGCTGGGACCCCTGGTGGCCAGCTGAGGGGCTGGGGCACTGCCAGGAGAGCTGGGCTCACTGGCCGGCAGCCGTGTCTCTGCTGCAGTGGCCGTCTTTGGGTGTGGTCCTGCTTCCTGGTGCCTGCCTCGCCTTCCTCCCCCCCTCCCGGGGCCCTGTGCCCGCCTGAGCCAGAGATGGGCTTTTCGCTGCCCTATTTGGCACCTGCCCCAGCAACAGGGCCGCCCATTGGCAGAGTTGTGCGCCTCTTGTGCCCGCCGCCCCCTGCAGCTGAAATGGAAACCTGAAAGGCAGCCGGCTCTGTCTGCAGGAAATGGGCAACACAAAGGGGCCTGCTGGAGTGAAGGGTGCCCGCTGCGCCCCCCTGGGGCCCCAGAGGGTGATGGTGTCTGGCCCTGGGGTGCTCCTGGGCGCCTCTGTCCTCAGTCACCAGTGGCCCATGAAACAGCTGAGCCTGCACCCTGTTTCACAGGGTGAACCCACATCCGTGCTGATCTCAGTGGTCACCCCATCCGAGCTCCCCTGGCCCCTCCAGGTTTGGACCTGAGGCCGAATGGGCTGCTGGGCCGCTCCCTCCTCTCTCTGCTGTCAGATGCAGTGAGGTCCAAAGCCAGATTGTCCCCGCGGTCCTGCTTTGCTCAGGCACCTTCCTCTGTCTCCGGCTGTGGCTGAGTCACAGAGGGGCTGCTGGCCTCCTACCCCCTTCCTGTCTCCTTTTCTCCCTCATCCGTCTGTCCATTCCGGTGCCTGGGGCAGGGGTTGCTTCCCCTCAGTCCCCTCCCATCCCCCAGCTGGGTTAGCCGGGCCTGGCTGAATGGTGCCTTGGTTCTCCTCCTGCCAGCTCTTTGCTGTCCTTTGTCAGCCACAGCAATTGGGCACCATCCCCAGAGGCAGGGTCCCCAGAGGCCAGGGTCTCACAAATGTTATTGCAGGCCCAGGCTTGGGAGGATGGGGGTCAGCCCTGTGTGGTTCTGGCACAGGCTGTCTTTCCGTACTTCTGATGTCTTCTGGTGGGACAGCTGCCACCTCCTCGAGCCTGCGAGGACCAGAGAACCCATGTTTCTGCAAAGCCTGGCATCCAGCCATAATTTGAGCCAGTAAAGAGGCTGAGACAGGAAGATCACAAGCCCCTGTTGTAAAATAAAGAAACAAAGGGCTGGCGGTATAGCTCAGCGGACTAAGCGTTTGCCAAGGGTTTGATTTGCCGTGCCGGCCCCGCCCTTGGGTATGCTGAGCCGATGATGAAGTCTGGGCATGGTGACGCGTGCCTGTAATCCCAGTGCTTGAGAGGCAGAAATCAGGAGGATCACTACAGGTATGGGCTGTGTAGTGAGACCCGGCACCAAAAAAAAAAGGGTGGTTGGCTAGATAGCTCAGTGGCATAAGCACCTGCCTGTAAGTGTGAGGTCTCAAGTTCAATCCTTGGTACCACACACACAAAAAATAAATACAATATTTTTTAAATGAAAGGGTTGGGGTGCAAAGGCTTTGGGTTCAATCCTCAGTATTGAAAGAAATCAAGTCAGAGAGAGAAAGGAAAGAAGAGGAAGGTGGGACGACACAAGGGAAGGATGGGGCCTGGCAGGCTGGGCATGGTGGTGCACACCTGTAATCCTGGCACATGGGAAGCTGAGGCAGGAGGGTTGCCACAAGCCCAGCATCAGCATGGGCTACAGAGCAAGACTCTGCTCAAAAAAAATTAAAAAAGAGATCGCCTGGTGTATGTTGGGCTCCTGAGAGTCTAGTAGGGCACCCTGGCAGTGTCCCCTGAGAGAGGCGTGTCCATGGGGATTTGTGGCCCTGTGGCCTCTGTTCCTCCACCTTCACAGGCCTGCCCTCCTGGGGTTTCCACAGGCCCCAGGCCAGGGCTGGCACCTTAAAGACAGAGGCGAGGCCCCACTCAGGGTCCCTCGGGCTCCCAGGGAGCAGGCTTGGAATGGGGAGGACAGAACTCCTGTCCCCTCAGCTCAGCATGTGTCTCAAGGTCCCTACAGGCTGCAGGTGCCCTGAGGCTTCCCAGAGGGGGCCGTGTAAGGGTGGTCGTCCAGTGGCATGAAAGGAGGTGGGGAAGGGATGGGAGCAACTGGAAGGCCGGAAGTGTCTGGTCAGGGTGACAGCTAGGGTCAGCAGGGACACAGATATCATCTTGTCCTCTATGTTGGGGCATCTCATGAGGGTGGCAGAGTAGGCAGAGCTGGCACCCAGCAGACTAGGCCCCTCTGCCCGTGCTGTGTTGCCCTGTGTTTCCCCGCACAGGAAAGGAGGATGACGGTCCTGGCCCCACAGGTCCAGGCCCCAGGAGGATGACGGTCCTGGCCCCACAGGTCCAGGCCCCAGGAGGATGATGGTCCTGGCCCCACAGGTCCGGGCCGCAGGACCTCTTGGGTGGTGCCAGCAGTGTGGTGTGCCGTCCCTGCTTCTGGTGCCGCCCCTCATGAAGCCTCTATCCACAGGTGCCTGAGGACAGCTGAGAGGATGTGACCCGCGCCCACCTGCCCACTCTGCCAGCGCCACCATGCAGAAGCCCAGCGGCCTGAAGCCCCCAGGCCGAGGGGGCAAACACTCCAGTCCCATGGGCAGGACATCCACCGGCTCGGCCTCCGGCTCTGCCACAGTGGCAGCCACAGGCTCCAAGGAAGGTGTGTGGGGACGAGGGGGGGGAGGAGGGGGAACGGGACTGCGTGGGGACAGGGCTCCCCTGTAGCAGCCCAGAGGCCCAGATTCACTCATAAGTCTTGCTATTGTGGCACAGGGGATCAAACCAGGGTCTATACCCTGAGCTACATCCCAGCCATTTTACTTTTTTATTTTGAGATACACTCTCCCCTGGTGGGTAACTTACCTAGGCCAGGCTTAAACTGGGCAGCAGTGCTCCTGCCTCAGCCTCCCAGAGTGCTGCGGTTATTGTCATGCTGCGCCATGCCTGGCTGGCGGCAAGTTCTTCAGCAACGAGCTATGGAATAGGCTTTTTTTTTTGCCCGCTCTCTCCACCCTTCTTCTTTCCTCCGCAGCTCTGGGAGGAGGGCACCGCTGATATCCCGCTGGGAGGTGAGGAAGGAAGCTCCAGAGGGGTCAGGCGCCTTCCTCAGGCTCTCACCCACAAGAGCCCAGCCAAGATGCGAGCTCCGCCTCCCGCCTTGTGTTCCCACCAGCCTCTGCGGCTGTGCCCTTTACCTTTACCACTGCCTTTGCCTCGCGTGCCTTTGTTTTGAGGGGGGCACAGGTGCCACTCTTCAGACACAGTGATGGGCCTTGCTGGAATCTTTGGGGATGCCCTGGTTCTCCCTGGTTACCCAAGTGTTCCCCAGGATACCTCTAGATCAGCTGTAGGTGAGTCACAGGGCCTGCTGCCTTGTAAAGGCTGTTGAAGTACTTGCTACATTGTGTCTTTGGAGAACAAAGCCAGTACAGAGGCAGCTGTTGTTTGGTTCTTTGTATTCCTTATTTATTTGAACCCAGGGCTGTTAAGCTGAGCTGTATCTCCAGCATGTTTGTTTTACAGACCGTGTTGGGAGTACAGACTAATTGCTTTCATCATGCAGAATTGGTGTATATACTTTTTCGGGGGGGGGGCTTGGAGTCTCAGTAAATTGCCCAGACTGGACTTGAATATGATCCTCCTGCCTCAGCCTCCCAGAGCGTAGGGCTTATAGGTGCGTCACCTTGTTTGGCTCAGATGAGTGTCTCCCTGCCTCCCCTAGGAGATTATCCCTCTGCAGTTGGGCTGGGGACATAGCTCAGCAGTCTAAGCACCTACCTGGTGAGGGCAAGGACCCAGGTTTGATCCCTGGTACCACATGCTATGCTGGCCCTGTGCCAAGCCAGCCACTGAGACCAGGCATGGTGGTGCAGGCCCGTAATCCCAGCGCTGGGGAGGCTGAGACAGTAGGATCACTACAAGTTCAAGCCACGTAATGAAACCCTGGACCAAATAAATAAATGATCTTTCTTGGCATATTTCCTTGTACTTTGCAGTGTAAGTTACTTGAAAGCTCATGTTTTGCCTGTAAGTAAATAGTTATAATGATGAATTTTTTATGTCATGAGAAATTTAAGTGCCCTCCGTTTGGTTGTAAGATGCTATGTTCATTGAAAAAAAATTTGTTTTGAAACAGTCTCACTATATAGTTTAGGCTAGTTTTGAACTCATTATGTAGCCCATGCTGGCCTTGAACTCACGGTGATCCTCCTGCCTCAGCCTTCCAAGTACTTAGATTGCAGGTGTGCCTGGCTTGAGCATTTTTTTAAACCTTTGAAAATTTGTATTACTCCATATTTGTGATATGAAATGGTTGCACTACCTGTGGGGCAATGGTACAGGTACAGAACACATCTTAGTCATTTTCACAGCCCTTTCCCACCCCTGTCTTTCTGTGTCCTTCCCCAGGCAGAGGTCCATGTCCTCGCGGTTGCTGGACAGTTAGACCTCGAGGGCCTGCTTAGTGATGCACTTCGACCACTGGCTGCTCGGCAGTTCTAGTCTCCGCGCTGGGGTTCCTAGACTTGGAGGGGCGCTGAGTGTTCTGAGATCCTACAGCTGGGGCCTGACCAGGGCTAGGAGGTCACCTTGGCCAGGGAAAGGTCATGATCATCCAGGAAGGGACCGATGCACAAGCAGAGTGTGAGGGTGGAGAGGGAGGCATACAGGCAGCTGGCGCAGCACGTGCAAAGGCCCAGCTACGGGGTCGGGGGCACAGTGAGTAGGAGGGAGGCGCTGTGAGTGAGGCCGGTGGGTGCCACCAGCGGGGGCCCCAGGGGCATCTGAACTGAGCCTTGGAAGTGGGGCTGTGGATGTGGGGGTGGGGGAGGCACAGAGGCAGAGAGGGCCTAGAACCTTGTCCTTCCTTACCCTGTGCCTGCTGGGTTCCCCAGGAGAGCTGGTTGTGACCCCTGTGACACCGGGCAGTAAAGGTTGGTGTCTGGTCTGGTGCAGAACACGGGCTCAGCGTGCAAAATGCCTGTGTCCAGAGCCACATAACCCACCCTCCCACACATGAGTTTCTTAGCTTTTACCCATCTGTAATCTCTCATCCTCTATCTTTCTCTCCCTCCCTCTCTCCCTCCATCCTTCCCTCCATCTCTCCCTCTTTCCCTCTCTCTGGGCTGGCCTCAAACTCAAGATGATCCTCCTGTCTCAACCTCCCCAGTGCTGGGATCACAGGCGTGTGCAACACACCCAGTTCATCTTCCCCCTAATCTCAAGACAGATTTGAATTTGATACGAGAAGCACCCATGGGCTGGCCTGATAGTTCAGTGGACTAAAGTGCCTGCTTAGGCAGAGCACAAGGGCCAAGGTTCCATTCTGGTGTGTGTGTCAGCCCCACCCCCAGGGTTTGCTGAAACAGTGATTGAGACTGGGCATGGTGGCATGTGCTTGTAATCCCAGCACTTGAGAGGCTGAAACAGGAGAATCACTGAGTCCAATCTACGTAATGAGATCCTGTAGACCCTGTAGACCCTGTCCTAAATACAGAAAAGAAAAAAGAAAAAGTACCCATTGCCCGTGCTTGGTTCCCTTCCAGTCTTCATTCTTTTTTTCTTTTCTTTCTTTCTTTTTTTTTTTTTTGGTGGAACCATGGATTTGAACTCAGGCCCTTGTACTTGCCAGGGAAGCGCTTATTCCACTGAGCCACCTCCCTGGCCCCTCAGTCTTCATTTTTAAGGCTCAGGAGGTTGTGGTAGTTTTTATTGTTTGTTTGGGGATAGGGATTGAACTCAGGTCCTCTAAACTGTCGTCCCAGGATTCAAGTGCCTGCAAGCAGGCACAGGGGCTGGGGGTTCACTCCCTGGGCCTGCCGTGCCAGCCCTGCCCCTGGGGCATGCTGAGATGGCAATTGAGACTGAGCGTGGTGGTGCACACCTGTAATCCCAGCTCTTGGGAGGCCGATCACTATGAGTCCGATCTAGTAGTGAGACCCTGAATACCTTGTAGACCCTTTCCTAAAATACAAAAAAAGCAAAAAACCAAAACGGTCATCCCTTTGCCAGAGTGTGGGAGTGGCTGTATTTCCAGCCCTTTTAAAAATTTTGCAGGGCTGTCTAAGCACCTGCCTGGCAAGTGCAGGACCCGGGTTTGATCCCCGGTATTATATGCTGTGCTGGCACGGTAGCACACATCTGTAATCCCAGCACTGGGAAGGCTGAGACAGGAGGATCACTACAAGCTGGAGCTGCATAGTGAGACCCTGAACCAAGTAATTGTGTAAATAATGCATTTTAAAAAAATTAAAAATTGTGTTGTTCCCTCAGACAGCTTCTCCATCAATCGTGAAGTTGCCCAGGCTGGGCTTCAGCTCCTATTCCCCCTCCCTGAGTGCTGGGATTGCAGGGTGTGGCTCTCCGTCTCCCACAGCCTCCCTTACCATGTCTCCATGTGTCACTGCACCCCACAGGCAGTGTCTCATGTTGTTGCCATGTGGTGTTGGATGTCACTGAACTGATGCAACAGTTCCCAGGGGGACCACACGGGGACCACATGGTGTCACACAGCTGGGTGGCTGCAGGCCGAGGATGTGGGAGCTGGGTGGTCTGACTGCAGAGGGGGGTGTCAAGGGAGCCACCCCTACACTCTGGCAAAGGGACGACAGTGGCCCAGGCTGCCCACTGCCCTGGCACCCTTTCCCAGCCCCCTCACAGCTGCCTTCTCAGGTCAGTGCCAGACCCTGAGCAGTGGGGAGGGATGAAGAGGCTGCCTTTGTCCTGGTCCTGTCTGAGTGGTGGAGCCCCCTACGGTGGCCCCTGCCACTGTTCCCTGGCTCCCTTACCCATCATGGGACTGGCTGGCTGTGCTCTGGAGCATGGGGCCCTTCCCTGTCCAAGGCTGGGCCTTGGGGGGGGGGCTGGGGGACACTGGGCCTTCATGCACGCTGGCATCTGCCCTGGGAAGTGGCTCGGTGGCTGCCTCCCAAAGCATGATCTCAGCCCTGGCCCGAGGGGCTGGCAGGGGCGGCGCTGGCCAGAATCCTCTGTCACAGGCCCTGAGCCTGTGGGTTTTTCATGATACTGAGAGTAACTCAGGGCTTCACACTGAGCTACTTCCCGGTGCTTTTTAATTTATTTAATTTTGAGCTGGGGCCCCACTGAATTGCCCAGGCTGGACTTGAACGTGGTGATCCTCCTGCCTCGGCCTCCTGGAGTGCTGACATTACAGGCCAACGCTCCCCACCCCAGCTCCGAGCATCCCTGTGAATGACTTGTCCGGGATTCAGCACTTCCTTCCCCTGTGTGGGCCTCCAAGGTCACCTTTGTCCCTTCAAGGCCAGCCCTGCCCTCGCCTCCCCTAACCACATCCTAAACTTTTCTCTGTGGCAGGAGGTGGTGAGGAGAAGCCGAGGCTTCCTTGGGGCCGCGGGAGGGGCGGGGCGCCTCCGAATGCTCCTGATCTCCCGGCAGCGCTGGCGCAATCGATCTTCTGGGGTGGGGGGTGGCGGTGGCAGGCCAGCACTGCCCGCCCAGAGCTGGCCCGGGCTCCCCATGGGCAGTCGGCTCTGCTCTCTCCAGGGTGAGAACCCCCACCCCTCGTCGCGGTCCCCTGGTACCTGTGCAGGGTGGGTGGCGGGTGGAGGCGAAGCGCCTCCTTCAGGGAAGGGGGCTGGGGGTGCAGAGGCAGCATCATCCCGGGGGTGTGGCTGAGCAGGGTATCCTTGGAGAGACACTGGTCGCACTGGTTGCGACCCCCCCCCCCAGCCCCTGTGCGCATTTTGGGAGCTCCCCTGAGGGCTGCTCTGGAGACCCGTATCCTCTGCTCTTTGACCTCAGGAGGGTTTCTGAGGTGTGGAGGGGCCCAGCCAGAAGGCTGCTTGGTGTGTGTGGGACATTTCCATCCCCAGTGTTGGGGGGCAGACTTGGACCCCGCTACCGGAGGAAGAGAGGCACGCAGCGCGAAGGCCACTGGGGTAGCTGCGGCTGTGGGAGGTGAGGCGGGGTGCCTGGCTGCAGGACCGTCCTGCTTCCTAGCTGCCGGCTGTGTGCCGTCGGGAGAGACCTGGGGGGGTGGTTGTAGCCCTGTCATTCTCGCCCTCTGGGAGGCTGAGGCAGGAGGGTTGCAAATTTCAGTCCAGCCTGGGTCACTTGGTGACTTAAGGAAATCCTGGCAAAGTTTTTGAAAGCTGGGGTGCGGTTCAGTGCAGAGGTTCTGGGCTCAGTCCCCAGTTCTGGGGTATCCCTTGCTCTGCCGCAGGGCAGAGCTAGGATGGAGGCATCCTGGGCTCCCCGACTCAGAAAACTCCCGCTGCTGCCGCTCATTAGCATAGCAAAGGCCCTGTGGGATCCCCGGAGCACTGGTCAAGGTGCTGTTTCTTGTTCTTGTTTGAACTGAGAGGTTGAATTTTCTTTTTCATAATAACTAGCAATGTCTGTGGGACCGTGTTCTGTGGAGCCTTCGCGGGGCTGGGCCTGTCTAGGACCCCTCCCCCAGGGGCCATGGGCGGGGACAGAGCTGCTCTGGGCATCCTGGGTCCCCGAAGCCCCTGCTGGTTTTTCAGAGCAGATTCCTTCCCGGTGCTCTGGAGCCCTGCTTTCCTGCAGGTTGCACCTGACCAACTCTTTCCCATCTGACCTGGACAAAATATTTGTGAAGGTGGGGAGTGACTCCTTGACCACGGTGTGCAGAACTACTTGTGATTGCAGGGCATTGAGATTACTTTCTGAATCATTTCCTTTGGAAATAGGCCAAAAGATTACATTCCTTGGTTTTATTTTACTTGATTGATGGATTGATTTTTTCCCCCAGTACTGACTATTAACCCTAAAGCCTTTGCACTGAGCTACATTCTCAGCCCTTGTTATTTTTTAATTTGTAGGCTGAGGCCCCTGCCGACCGAGGTGTGGCAAGGATGCAAGGCCTGTCCTGGGGCCCCGTATCCTGGCCGCTGCAAAGGCACCCTGGTTCTCCTCCCCCACTGTGGGACGAAGCCACCAGCTGCCACCATTCCTCAGTGTCCTTTGGCTCTTTCTGTCAGTTCTGCTTAGAATGGGCGCTGCCTCCTGTGTGCAGGCAGCGCTGTTGTGGAACCAGCTGCTCACAGGACTTCAGTCTGTGGCACTGTGTCTGGGAAGCCCAGGTCTGAGAGCTCTAACAGCCAGGTCCCTTGGGAGGGAAGGGAATACTGAGAGTGAGACCCCTGCTGTTTCTGACTTGGCCCTTGGTGGCTCATGGGGACACTGAGGCACCTTGCTGTGACTTTTCAGGTGACCCTCGGAAGGATGGGGTTGCTATCCCATTTCCTGTGCCTCAACAGCTGGGGAATTTGGAGAGGGCGTGGTCCTGGGAGGCCAGGCTGCAGCAAAGGGGAAAAATTTAGCAAAACAGCTACAGCAGGCGCCATAGGCTTTTGACCTGGATTTTAGCAGCTGTTTAAACAACTGGTCTACAGGCCTGGGACCCTGCAGGGGTGGGCAGCAGGGAGAGATTACCTGAGGGTCCCCATGGGCTGGTGGGGACAGCTGGATGCTGGGACAGCTGGGCAGCAGTGTCTGCTGAGGATAGCTGTGCTGGTGCCCGGAGCCCTGCTGTCTGTGGAGGACAGAGGCATCCACCCAGCGAAGCAAAGTGCTCCAGATCCCTGGGGACCTGGACCACTTCCGACCCTGTCTCCTATCTGCCGGAGAGATGATAAAAGTACATGAGTACACTTGGGGAGTGACCAGCAGTCCATAGAAGCAGCTGCTGTTTTAACAGCAGCAATCCTTGTTGATATGGTGGTGACAGGGACTTGCCTGGTGACAAGAGGGGGCATCATCCAGTTTGTGGCCCTCCTATTGTCCTAAGGAAGTGGCAGCCAAGCTGGTGAGAGGCATGTGTAGGAGAACTCATCCAGGCTGTGGTGCATGCACTTGAGTGTGCACGCGTGTGGCCTCTGCACTCCTGTCCCTGGCGTGCTCCTGGTGCAGGCTGCCTATGGCAGTGTTGTCCTAGATCAGACTGCGGTCTCCAGGAGCTGCATGGCAGGGTCGCTGTGAGCATGAGGCTCGTGCATGGACCTGTGTGGCTGCTGCAGAGCGGGCATGTGACCCCCTGATTTCACTGAGGGGACCAGAGCTGGAAAGGCACCCTGAAAAGCTCACCAGAACCTGGAAGTCCACACAGCCTCCTTCAGACTTTGTATATTTTACCATTAATATATATATATATATATATATATATATATATATATATATATATAGTACAGGGTCTCACTACACAGATCAGACTCTTAATGATCCTGTTTTTCAGCCTCCCAAGCACTGTGATTACAGGTGTGCCACCACACCCAGTCTCATTTGCTGTCTCAGTCCACCCCAGGGGCAGCGCTGGCACAGCAGGCCCCTGCCTCTGCCTAAGCAGGAGATTTAATCCGATGAGCTATCTGGCCAGCCCTCCTTCTTTGTTCTTGTTCTCTTAGTCTGAGTGTAAATGTCTCATCAAAAAGGGCTGGCCAAGGGCCGGGGAGATGGCTCAGTGGAATAAGCGCTTCCCTGGCAAGTGCAAGGGCCTGAGTTCAGTCCCTGGTTCCGCCAAAAGAAAAAAGGGCCAGCCAAATAGGTCAGCCTTAAAGCACCTGCAAGCAGGTGCAGGGGTGGGGGTCCGGGGCCTGCTGTGCCTGCTGAAACAGCAATGGGTGGCAATTAAGACTGGGCGAGGCTGTAAACAGGCAGGTCACTATCAGTCTGATCTAGCAGTGAGACCTGTAGACCCTTCCCTAAAATTAAAAAAAAAAAGTCATCAAAATGGTGGCACAGGTTTACTGTCCACTGGGATGGGCCAGGTGCTGTGCTTTTCCAGGACAGCTCTGTGATGGAAGCACTGATGGGGACACAGGCATGGGGTGCTAAGTAATTTCATCAGCTGTGAATGCCTGGAGGTGGGGTGCAGTTGGGGGTCAGGGGGGCCTTTGCTCAGCTGCTATGACCCTGGTCTTTTAGGGTCTCAGGGTTAGACCATCTCCTGCTGTGGGGAACTGTACACTTGCTTCTGGGAAACATCCTTTCAGGGAGTTCAGGTCTGAGGGAGACTGTCAAATGAGTTTAAGGTGGAGGAGTGAAAGTAACTTCTACAGGAATGGGGCTTTGGCCACAGTCGGGCCCTGTCCCTCATCTCCTCCCATGGAGCTGGACAAAGCACCTATTATCTCAGCCTCATTTTCTCATCTGTAAGATGGGCACCATAGAGTCCAGTTAGCTCCTTCAAGTATGCACCTAACACAGGGCCTGAGTACGTGGCCTAGTGTCCTGAGGTTGCTCAGGTTCCCGGCCCCACCTGGCTCCCAAGTGGGAGGCAGCGCTGACCCTCCACAGGCCTCTGTCCTGACCACCCATGTCCTGGGGTACAGGCAATTGCCTGGTGGAGTCCCCGGGAGAGCAGCCAGCCAGGCCAGGGCCAGGGGCTGCTGGTGGAGCCCCCTGCCCTGTGCTCCACAGGGCAGCTCCGGCATAGGCCTGGAAACTGTGGTTACAAGGGAACACTGCACTGCCCCTGCCAGTGTACTAGGACATGTCGGCCTCTGCAGCAGAGGATTCTCTGCCACATGCTTGGCTGGCAGGAAGGAGGGAGATGAGAGACTGGGGGCAAAGACTGTGGTACCGGGGCAGCTTGAGCACAGTGGGGGGCCCCACACTCGGGAGAGCAGCAGCTCTACAGTTAGTGCCCTTGAGCAAGCCACCTCCTGTCCTGCATCTGCAGCTCGCTGAAGCCAAGTCCTAGACAGCAGCCCCTGTAGGGAGACCCTACCTCTGAGCCTTGGGCTCCTTCCTGCTGGGGGCTGTGGTTAGAGGACCCCTAGCTCCAGCGCAGGCTTAAGAGTCTCCTGCCTCCGCCCCTCCAGGGACTGGGACGGTGGGCGGGGCCTCCTGCCTCTTTCTTCTAGGCGTCTATGGCCGCGTTCTCTTCTGGTGACCAGAACAGGTCATGCCCTTTTGTGGATCCCGGGGCTCCGGGTTCCACCCAGGGGACCCCAAGGTTGTGCATATGCTCAGAGTGTTGAACCTGGAACCTTCGTACTGAACTGCATCCCCAGCCTTACTTTTCTTGATCATTTTAAAATTTGAGACGGGGTCTGGCTGACTTGCCCAGGCTGGGCTTCCGCTCCTAGTCTTCTATCTCAGCTTCCAACAGAGCTGGGGGACAGGTGTGCCCCACCACTCTGCTCTGGGCTCTGTGACCTGGAGGTTCACATACTTGCTCCACGATGGAGCTGTTCCTGAGCTTGCTAAGGGCTGGAGGAGTGAGGCAACACCGCCCTTGCCTCAGTTTCCTCATCTTTCCACCCAGGCTATTCCCTCGGTTCCCAGGCAGGCACTAACTGCAGCCCTTCTTTGTTCACAGGTTCCCCCCTGCACAAGCAGGCATCGGGCTCCCCATCCTCCACGGCCACTGCCACCTCTGCCGCCCCCGAGAAGCCAGGCCCGAAAGCGGCGGAGGTGGGCGATGACTTCCTGGGCGACTTTGTGGTCGGAGAGCGCGTGTGGGTGAACGGTGTGAAGCCAGGCGTGGTGCAGTATCTGGGCGAGACACAGTTTGCGCCGGGCCAGTGGGCCGGGGTGGTGCTGGATGAGCCAGTGGGCAAGAACGATGGCGCGGTGGGCGGCGTGCGCTACTTCGAGTGCCCGGCGCTGCAGGGCATCTTCACACGGCCGTCCAAGCTCACCCGGCAGCCGGCAGCCGAGGGCTCGGGCAGCGACACCCACTCGGTGGAGTCCCTCACGGCCCAGAACCTGTCGCTACACTCGGGCACAGCTACGCCCCCACTGGCCAGCCGCGTACTCCCGCTGCGGGACAGCGTGCTCGGCAGCGCCGTGAAGACCGGCAACGAGTCGGGCTCTAACCTCTCCGACAGCGGCTCTGTGAAGCGGGGTGACAAGGACCTGCGCCTGGGAGACCGAGTGCTGGTGAGTGGGGTGGGGTGTGGGGTGGGAGGTGGGGGCCGGGGGAGGACAGGAGCACTTGGTCCTCACTGGCACCAGGCAGCGAGTGACCAGACAGGCAGTTCACATCAGCCTTGGAGACAGTTGCTGCGTGGCCTGGGCAAACCTCTTAACCTTTCTGATATAAGCCCCAGACATAAAACAGGACTTTCCCCCCCCTCCCCATTATTGAGGATTAAACACTAGGCTTGTGCACTGAGCAACATCCCAGCTTTGCTTTACTTTGCTTTAACTTTTTTTTTTTTTTTTTTTTTTTTTTTTGAGACAGGGTCTTGCTAAGTTTCCTGGGCTGGGCTCAAATTTTCTGTACTGGTGCCTCAGCCTCCTAGGGATGACAGCTGTGTACCACCATGCTCAGAGTGCCTGCCTTGTCTGCCCTGAGGAACCAACCTTGGGCAGCATACCCACCCCAGCCATCTCCAGCCCAGGCCTCTCTTACCTTCCATGTAGCAAGGCTCCTGGTCTGAGGCAAGTGCCACTCACACCCTGGGAGGCTTAACAGGCCAGAAATTGCCCTCCTGCAGCCTGGAGGCTGGAGGTCTGTAGTGACCCTTGAAGGCGCCGGGGAGAACCGGCCCTGAGCTTTCCTTAGCTGCGCAGTGGCTGTCTCAGCCTACAGTTGTGTTGTGAATCTGCTTCTGTCCTCCTCGTCCTTTCTTCTTATTAGGGTACCAGACCTGCTGGATCCTAAAGACTTCTTTCTTATCTGCCTGGAATCCTAGCACTCAAGGGGCTGAGGCAGGAGGCTTGCAAAATCCAGCTCAGCCTGGGCCACTGAGTGATGTAGCGAGACCCTGCTGCAAAATTAAAAAGTAAAGGGCTGGGACGTGGAGGCAGCTCTGTGTGAGGGCCCTGGGTTCAATCCCCGGTCCCACTAAGCAAAAATAACACAAGACCAGAAGGGCCAAGCTCAGTGCTATGTGGGTGAGGCCTTGGTGGCTTCCTGAAAGTCCCAGACATGGGGAGAAAGGCTCGCGCTTGCCTGCTGGTGGCCTGGCCCTTCCCCGCAGGCCAGGCTGGAGAGCCTTCTCGGGAAGACGGCCATTCCTCTGAGCAGTCAGAGCTGGTGTCAAGGCATTGAATATGAACAAAGCGCTGCCAAATATAGGGATAGGAACATTCATTCGGATGTGAATATTCATGGAGCCAAAAAGCGGCGGAAAATGTAGTCTCAGGAATAGGAAACTGCAGAAGCATTGGAAGCCTTGGTTCAGGAAATCTAGAAGAAAGTGGAGCGAAGGCAGATGGCACAGGAAGGGGAAGGAGAGCGGAGGTGTGTCCAGCGGGTCTGACTCCTGTCTGGCTGGGTGCTGAGGAGAGAACAGGGAAGGAAAGGCGGAGGCCTCCGTCATGAAACCACAGCCTGGTACAAAGGAAGCGCTGTGGGCCAGGCAGGTGCACCCCTGTGACCCCAGCACTCCCCACTGGGAGGCTGAGGCAGGAGGATCTCAAGGTCAAGTGGAGCCTGGGTAACTGAGTAATTGCAACAACCTTGCCTCAGTAAAAAAGGACTGGGGGTGCTGCTCCGTGTGAAGGACCTGGGTTCAACCCCCAGTACCAGGGAGAAAAAAGTAGCCATGCAGCCTGCTATTTAGAGATGTGCACATAAACACCGACAGTACCACTTAAAGAGTTGAAAGTGTGTACAGGGACAGCAGAAGAACTTCTGGTCTTTTGAAGCTTTTCCAAGAATTTGACACTTTAATCTATGTATATGCATGACTTGGATTTAAATTTTTGAAGCTATTTTTATGGTTGTATTCACACATTTTATTGTCCTACCCTTAGAGATTCTTTTTTTTTTTTAATTATGACTAAAAGAATAACAGAACCATCTTAACCATTTTTAGATCTCCAGAACTGTCATCTTGAAAATCTGAAATCTGGACCCATTAAACAGTAGCTGCCCATTTCTTCTTCCCCACCAGCCCCTGGAAGCCACCACTGAAACCCTTCTGAGAGAGAACGCTCAGGGAGGCGCCGGGATAAACCAGCCCTGCCCACCCAGTGCTGCATTGTCAGGAAGGGTCTTTTCACAGGTGCAGGTGCCTAGGCTCGAGAGAGGTTAGCCCACCTGCCCACGCTCACACAGTGCCAAAGGGGCAGAGATCTGCCTGCACATGAGAGTGAGGTGCATAGGTGCTCCAACCCGTGTCCCTCCCAGCTGTCCCCTCCTCCCAGTCCCCTGTTCTGTGCATACTGGAAGGGGCAGATGGACTCTCAGATCACCCAGGTGCCTACCTCCTTTTCCCCTCCGTGTGCCAACAGGTGGGTGGCACAAAAACTGGCGTGGTGCGGTATGTGGGAGAGACGGACTTCGCAAAGGGCGAGTGGTGCGGTGTGGAGCTGGACGAACCCCTGGGGAAGAACGATGGGGCGGTGGCAGGGACCAGGTAGGTGGCTTCTTGGGAGCTGTGCAAGGGCTTTGGAGGGCCTGGCCCCCTCTGGTGGCTGCCTGCAGGGATGGATGGAGGGATTGTCATGGGAGGAGACCAAGGAGAGACAGGCCAGAGTGGCCAAAGGCCACACAGTGGCAGGCAAGTGCTAGGAACATCACCTGTCTTTGTGGTCCCTTCCTGCCCACATGGCTGAGTGGGGCAGGCAGAGCCAAGAAAGGTGGCACCACCTGTAGCCCCAGCCTGTCACCAGGAGGCTGAGGTGGAAGAATCTCAAGTTCAAGGCCAGCCTGGGAAACTTAAGAGAGACCTTGTCTCAAAAAATAAAACAGGGGGCCAGGGATGTGGCTCAGTAGAATAAGCGCTTCCCTGGCAAGCGCAAGGACCTGAGTTCAATCCCCGGTTCTGAAAAAATAAAAATAAAAATAAAAATAAAAAATAAAACAGGACTTTAGATGGCACATGGAGTTATCAGTCCACGTTGCCAACTTCCCGACTCGCAGCAGGTTTCACAGAGGGACTCAGGTGTCCCGCTTCTAGGTATCCCGCCCTTCGGAGGCTCCAGCCTGCTGGACTGGGTGTGAGCAGTGGGACTCCAGCAGGTCCCATGTTCCTCTCCTTGGGCCATGACAGCAGCTGCGCCTGTCCCCAGGTACTTCCAGTGCCCACCCAAGTTTGGTCTCTTCGCGCCCATCCACAAGGTGATCCGCATTGGCTTCCCGTCCACCAGCCCGGCCAAGGCCAAGAAGACCAAGCGCATGGCCATGGGCGTCTCTGCGCTCACCCACAGTCCCAGCAGCTCCTCCATCAGCTCGGTCAGCTCCGTGGCCTCCTCGGTGGGTGGCCGGCCCAGCCGCAGTGGCCTGGTAAGTGTGGTGCTGGGGGCTGTGGCTTGCTCTAGCCCAGGCCCATTTTCGGAGGAAGGATGGTCCTGTGATGTCTGTTGCTACTTTTAGGTCGCCAACCTGGCAGCTGCACCCTTCTGGGGCATTTGGGAGGGCAGTGGAGATGCAGGGCAGATATTCAGGGGGGCCAGCCGGGTGGGCAGGGGAGGAGCCCCAAGTCACACGTGTCACCATTTCTGTGGGGCTGGCTTGGCAAGGCCAGCGCAGTGATGAGGCCAGTGGCAGCCACCAGGGGTGAGGCCATCTGCTGGGTCCCTGTGGCCTCAGACCCCTGAGCACTGGCCACGCCCTCCCTGCAGCTCACAGAGACGTCCTCGCGCTACGCCCGCAAGATCTCGGGCACCACGGCCCTGCAGGAGGCACTGAAGGAGAAGCAGCAGCACATCGAGCAGCTGCTGGCCGAGCGCGACCTGGAGCGGGCCGAGGTGGCCAAGGCCACCAGCCACATCTGTGAGGTGGAGAAGGAGATTGCACTGCTCAAAGCGCAGCACGAGCAGGTGGGCGGCGGCGGCGGCGGCGGCGGCGGCGGCGGCGGCGGCGG